TCATCTTAGCAACGGATGCAAAAGTTTCTGCATAATCCACTCCATACACTTGTGTAAACCCCTTTGCCACTAAACGAGCTTTATACCGCTCCCCTGTGCCATCAACCCTATGTTTTGCTGTGAAAACCCATTTACACCCAATTGGTTCCTTCCCCTTAGGAAGATCTTCAAGTTCTCATGTGTCATTTTTATGTAAAGCATTAATCTCTTCCTTCATAGCATCTATCCATTCAGGTATCAAAAGACCTTCTGCCACATTCTTAGGAATAGGAACACTGTCAATGGAAGAAAGAAAGGCCTGAAAGGAAGGTGAAATGTTCTCATAGGAAACAAAGTGGGACATGGGGTGTTTAGTGGTGCAAGACCTAGCACCTTTTCGGTGAGCAATAGGAAGGTTAAGGTCATTAGCAATAGAGGTATCAATGGCAATAGAGTCAAGAACATCAATGGGAACCAAGGTACCTGGTTGGGAAGGATCCACCCCCAAAGAGTTTGACGACATTGGTGGTACAGCTTTTGGATGCTCCACAGCTCTTGAACTTGGCTAGCCTTAGTGACGTCGAAAGAAAAGACGAAAGGGAGGAGGATCAGGAAGAGGAGGTAGCTGAACTAGTTTCTCCTCATTTCTACACTCCCCCTGAGGAGAAACAAGGAAGAAAGGCTCACTCTCAAAGAAAGAGACATCCATAGAAACATAATATCTTCGAGAGACGGGATCAAAGCATCAGTACCCCTTTTGAGTAAGGGAGTGCCCCAAGAAGATGCAAGGAATAGCACAAGGATCCAATTTTCCACGAGTGGGCTCCAGATTTTGAACAAAGCAACAACAACCAAACACAGGAAGAGGAATAAAAAGAATATGAGCCTTAGGAAAAAGAAGTTGATGTGGGGCTTTGCACCCTAACCAGCGAGAGGGCATACGGTTAATGAGATAGATAGCACAAAGGACAACCTCAAGCCAAAAACGTTTCAGGACATTCATATGAATGAGTAAACCCCTGACCACTTCAAGAAAGTGTCGTTTCTTTCTTTCAACAACACCATTTTGTTGTGGTGTTCAGGCACATGAGCTATAGTGAAGTGATCCATGCGAATCAAAGAATTCCATGAGATCATTATGAAAATATTCTTTGGCATTATCGGATTAGAAAATTTGGATCTTAGTTTGAAATTGGGTGAAGATCATTCGGTGAAAATCTTGGATAATTTTTGGTACTTCATCCCTGGTTCGCATGGAATATATCCATGTGTATCTGGAGTAATCATCAATAAAGGTAATAAAATTTTTGTAACCACTCTCGGACGGTAAAGCAATAAGGCCCCAAACATCAGAATGAATAATATGGAAAGGAAATTCAGATTTATTATTCTTTGAAGAAAAATGAGTTCTACAATGCTTACTCAATTGACAAGTTTGACATGTAAACTGTGACACTGACACTAACTTAAATAACTCTGGAAACACCAATTTTAATTTTTAAAGACTCAAAAGACAAATGACCGAGACAATTGTGCCATAAATAGACCTAACTCGTACTAGACTAACTCTTAGACTGTGACTATAAGACCATCCTGATTCTCTAGCATGTAGAGTCCATCCACCATACGTCCTCTACCAATCGTCTTCCCCGAGGCCAAATCCTGGAGTACACAATAAGAAGGGAAAAATGTTACTGATCAGTTTAAAGAATTAGTGATACTACTAACAGAGAACAAATTAATAGGGAATTTTGGAACATGTAAGACATTAGTCAGGGTGAGGCCAAAGGGAAGAGAAATGGTCGCAGAAGGAATGTTTTGACGCTCCATAATCAATTATCCAAGAGGAGAGTCAGGGGAATGAGACGACACATGGAAAGTTGTGGCAGAGTTACCTGATGTAAACGCAAATGAAGTTGAAGGAGGAGAAGAATCCATCTGACGAATTGCTCTACCATAGATTTCTAAATGGTCGTAGAAGGAATTAATAATATCCTCGGGTTAGAACCAGAAGTGTGTGTCTGAGTCATAGTAGTAGTGGGGGGCTGATTCTCCTAAGAAGCCATATTTGTTGTGGTGAACTTTCTTGGACCTTGATGTCCTGACTTCTTATTCAGATCTGAACCTTGCTTCTTACTTAATTCCTGGGCCCATTTTGGCTTCCCATGAAGATCCCAGCATGTTTCACAGGTGTGTCGGGGTTTCTGGAAAAGGGTGCACCATAGTTTGTCTTTGTCTTCGACCCTTTTTTGAAGGTTCCCCTTCTTAAAAAAATTTCCCCCACCTGTAGTAACATAACCTTTTGCTACCAACACAACTGCATCCCCTCCGGAGCTGTTCATTAAATTTCTTCTACTTTCTTCCGACTGTACTAATGCATAAACCTCCTGGACAGATGGAAGATCCTTGCTGCCTAGGATCGATCTGGACTCTGATGGATTCATACACTGGATTCAAGCTATGGAGAAATGCACTCTTTGTTGGGAAACAAGCTTCTTGTATGCTTTTGCATCTTCATCACACTTCCAGTCTACACTCTGATAGTGATCTAACTCTTTCCAGATGGAGGTCAAATCCAAATAGTACGCAGAAAGGTTCCTCTCCCCTGTTTACAAGTCGATGGTTTTGCCTGTAACTGATAGATTTTTGCATAGTAGCGCAGTTCAAAATAGGTCGATTTTGCCTGCTCCCAAATCTCATAAGCCGTTTCAGCCCACATAAAGTTCCTTCTCACCTGAGATTGCATAGACACCAAAAGCCAGGACATAACCATGCTATTTTCCTAGTTCCATCTGTCATACTTAGCACTCCCGGAATTTGGTTCTTTAATTCTCCTATTTATATACCCTATCTTTCCCCTTGTAGTAATGTATAACTTGATCTCCCTCGACCATTCTAAATAATTCAAGCCATCCAGGACTATAACAAACATAGGTAAGGATAAATCTATACCCCCACTTATTCCGTTCTGCATCGAGGAGACTCCAGATGTAGCAGAGTCTTCACCACTCATAATCACAAGTTTAGGTTACACTCCAAGTGAACACAAAAAACCCAAAAAGAAACAGCTTAACACCCCAATAAAACTCTTTGCACCAGGGAATTAGAGATAACCACTCCCCTCCTTTCCCCCCTTTTAAATCTCAGTTCTTCAAACAAAATCAGCTGCTGTTACAAAACTCACAGGTCATCACTGGCCTACCATAAATCAGGTATGGCTGCTGTCGCAGCATGTACAGGTCCTCTCTTGACCTACAAATCAAGTGTGGCTGCTGTCAGAGCATTTACAGGTCATCCCCTGACCTACAAATTCATCAGAAAGCTGCTGTTGCAGCATATAAAGGTCATCACCGACCTACAGTCTGTTACAGGGGATCAGCTGATACCACAAAAAAGGAAAGAAGAGGGTGCTGCTCACCTCACATTAACTAACTGAACCTATTACAGGTTTTGTTCTGGCACACGACCAGAAAAAGTAAAAAAGGAGAAAGGGAGAGAGAGCACTTCAGTCCGATCTGAATCTGGATCTGGATCTTCAATAAATCTCACTGTATCTGGCGAAGGAAGAAGACAGAAAAGGTTTGCTCGATCTCTTTTCAGATCTGACAGTCCCGCTCTGATACCATGTTATCCAGAAGAGAAGAAGGAAGAAAGGAAGAGAGAAGAGAGAAGAAAGAAAGAGATTTGGAGTCACAAAAGAGATGCTGGCGGCGCCAGCTTTTTATTATTTATACTAGGGCAACACAACTTAAAATAAAAGGTGCTGAAAGTACCAAAGTACCCCTGTGGTACTAAACTTACAGAATAATAACCTTTCAACAAAATTCGAGGTTAATTCATCAAAACAAGGCACTCAGAGAGGTGAAGCACTGACGCAGGAGAAAAGAAGCAGTATTATAGCCATCAAAAACTCAGAAATCTTCATTGAAGAAATTCCTTAGGGATTTTGGATGAATTTCTTCAAAAACAGTCCTAGAAGTATGGGACTGTGCTAGAATACCAGAAAAACTAACAAGAGAAGATTAGAGAATGAGAGAGAGAGAGAGAGCTGCGGCAAGGAGAGTTAGAGGATGAGAAGTTCGAACTTAACCTCCCTCTAACACTCTAATACTCTTTTATTAAGTTAATCTTTTAGTAATTACAAGAGAGGTCCTTAGTTGGACAAGAAATTACAAAAAAGGAACATAGAAGAGTATGGGCCATTCGGCCCATCTTCTCTACACGTACTCAAAACCCAACCGAACTTGATCAACCCTTACACTTATCTAGGACAAATCTATATAAAAAATTTAATGGAAAAGTTCCAACCCTATATCTATTTTCCTTAATTTAAAACGTTTCACAATTTTGGGGCAAATCTACAACTGTTGTAGTTAAACCTTGAGACCCTTCCTAACCTAGCCAATCACTATTTAGTCCTAAAATCACCTTTAAACTCATCCTAACCCTCCTAAACCCATCCTTTGGTCATACAAAGTCCTACATCAATTGGTATTAGAGCTATTGGTCCCATATTAGGTAAAACCCAAAAAGTTGAACCTCATCCATAAACCTAGGCATGCCTTCTAAAATACTGGTTCCAAAACTCATTTTGTGGTGATATGATCAATACGGGCTGAAACAAAGTCAACAATCTTCAATCTTTGATAATTAAATCATCCATAAAGGAGTGGTTCTTAGGAGGAGTACCATAATAGTATAATCACGGTTTACCATGCAGAAATGCATCAAAGTATGACAATCCTACATTTTTTGTTTTATTTATTTCATATGCAACGCAGATAAAACAATTTTAACTCCTACTTGTTGGGAGTTCCAAAGGGAATACCAGCATATGGTTCTTTTTGACACTAATTCCATAAGTTGCTTTACCTTTCAAAGAGTAACCAAATCAGAGAAGGGAAAAAACAAATAAGAGGATGTCAATTAAGGGAACAAAAAGGAGACAGATTTCAAAAGTGAAGAAGTTTAACATTCAATCAAATTAAACATCTATAGTAAAATAATAGGAGAAATATTACCTCATCCCCCTTTCTGATCCGTTGCCCAGCATTTATCATCACCTCAAGCATGCGGTCTTTGAAACGCCAATGTAGAAAACAATTTGGCTGAAAGGAATGGTTCAGCATGTCTGCGGTAGAAATGCAATTGATTTTAAATGCTTGGGAAAAAGAATGGCTAGTGATCCCAAAAATCATTTCCAAAAAGAACAATTTAGAAGTTCTCAAATTATCAAGCAAACAATACTCTACTAGATGAAGGCAATTGCAGTTGAAATCCACAATATAAGAGAAGCAAGTATTTATTGTAAAATAAGTCAAGGAACAACAGAACAATTGACAGCTTTATGATTTCATGATTGTAATTTGGAATCATTTGTTCATCTTCTTATACAATGTTCAGGAGAAAAAACCTTTCACTTTTCTCAAAATTATAAGAGGATAATGACAATAAGGGAAATATAAGTGAAGGGTGGTGTATTTGTATTGTAGTAGTTTTGAGGTGCTATTTTGTCTTCACTTTATCCTAGTGATTTCTTATCACTTTAGATTGTGTAAAGAGATTGGGCTGAATGGGCCTTAGTTTTATTTACTTTTAGTAGCTTTATTTCTGCTGTAGCGGGCCTCCTTTATGGACCTTAATACTTATTCTTCTTATGTTTTTTAAGTCAGTCGCACAACTAGGGGCACTCATGTAACTTTACATATTTTACGTTTCAGCACATATTTAATAAAATTGAGGGACAGAGAGAGGATCGAATAGCTCTCTTCCTCTTCCCATTTCTTCCATTCTCTTCTCTTGTTTCTAAATCTTCTTCTGAACTTCTCTTTCTTCCTTCTTTGTTCTATTTTTCAGAATTATTGCGGGTGTGATTTGCAACTGATTGTATTATCTCCTTTTTCCTTTTGGGGTAATTTACAGATAACTTCCACATTTTCAAATTTGGGGTGCAACTCAGGTGGGCCCAACCCGAGCCTGGATCTACCTAGACTGAAATTTTATATGGACTGGGCTTGGATTTTCAGTCCTTGGGCTGAACCTGGGCCCAAAAGTTTGGGCTTTTTAATTTTTTGGGCTGGGATCAAGCCTAGTCCTTGGGTAGCCCAAGCCCGGCCCGTTTATATATATGCATATCAATTTTTAGTGTGGGCTGATTGACCAACCTAAGCCCAGCCTAGACCCAAGGCAAACCCAAGCACATCAATTTTTAGTGCAGACTGGGCTTGGGTTGGATAGTGTGGGCTTGACCTTGGGCTTGGACTTTAGGCCCAATTCTTAGGGTTGGGCCTCGGTTAAGCTAAAACCCAGCCCAGCCTGCCTGACTTGCACCCCTACTTACAATTAGGGAATTTGGAACAAAATCTTTGCAAAAATTTCCTCTACTGGAAATTTCTGACTACTGGGTCATCTTTATATTCAACCTCTGTCAAGCATTATTCCTTTTCAACTTGAGTGTTGAAAAATATCATGTAGTATTACTGTGTAGTGAAAAAAAAAGGAAAAAAAAAAGTCCGTGAAGAAACCTCAGAAACTGGAATTTTTTTATTGGGTTTTAGCTTTTAATTTTTTCTTAGGTGTTGATTAGTTAAGAAAGCAGTCTTAGAAGTCCTATATCCAGCTGTCAAGTAGGATCCACATAGATGCTTAGGTGTTAAATTTTTCCTATTTCTTCTGAAGTTTCTAATATTCATTTCAGGAGTCCATTTAGTCATGAATAGAGACTGGATGTTGGGCCCAGCTACTCTATAAAGATCTTGTATTGTAACTAAGGCAGATCAAGTGAAAGGAAATTTGAATGATTCTTTTAAGGTGCCTTGCTAAGGTTAGGGGCGCAACCTGAGCCCGGACCAATCCAGCCCGCAATTTTACACAGGCTGGGTTTAAATTTTTTGTTCTTGGGCTGGGCTTGGGCCCAAAAGTTCGGGCTTTCAAATTTTTTGGGTTGGGCTTGGGCCTAGCCCTTAGGAAACCCAAACCCAATCCAAGCCCAGCCCGACCTTATCCCAACCCGAGCCCAGCCTAATTATATACATGTATATGTGCACATGTAGACACATATTTGCTTTCGTACATGCATATATGCATATTTTTTTAATAAACTACACATATATGCATACATGCATACATATACACACATATGTATATCAATTTTCAGTGTAAGCTAATTAACCAACCCGAGCCCAACCTGAACCTGGCCTGGGCCAAAATCCAACCCAAGTGTATCAAATTTTAGTGCGGGTTGGGCTCAGGCTGAAGGTTCATGCTTGACCTCAGGCTTGGGTTTTAGGACCAATTCTTAGGGTTGGGCCTGGGTTGAGCTAAAACCCAACCCAGCCCGCCCGACTTGCACCCCTAGCTAAGGTACAAGTTACCAAATTTATCTCCTGCTCTTCTATTTTTCCTTCCTATTATCCATTTATTTCTTCTTCCAAGTGACCTATCTTTCTGCTACATATTCTAACAGAAAGATTTCTTTTTCACTTTGTCGGAAAATTAAGAGATTTGAATAAATTTAGGAAAGATTAGGTTTGAATAAATTTGAGAAAGTCATATCCTAGGATTAAGGGAAAGATTTGGTCAATCCCTGATTGAGAGAAATTTTAAGGGTTTGTCTTTCCTATCTTCTCTTATTTAAGGTGTATGCTCAATATGTTTGTTATCATCAATAAAGAAAATCTTCTTCTTTTCTCCCTCTATTTTTCGCAACATGGTATCAGAGCTTTAGGGTTCAATCATGAATTTTAAGGCCGCCATGGTTGGCTCAGGTTCAGCATCTTTGGATGCTACCAATGGTATGACGTCTTCGGAGGGAGGTATTCAGCCAGCGGCTATTTCTCTTTCTAAGAATTCCCTTCAAATTACCATTCACAAATTGAATGGAAAAAATTATCTTGAGTGGTCTCAGTCCATGCGGTTGGTGATTGACAGCAAAGGGAAACTCTGGCTATTTGAATGGCGAAGTGAAACCGCCAGCCACTGATGATCCAAAGTACAGGCAGTGGTGTTCTGAAAATTCTATGGTTACCGCCTGGTTGATCAACTCTATGGATCCGGTGGTTGGAAAACCATTCATGTTTCTGCCGA